CCCTACACTCTAAAAAATGTTGGGTTAAATATAACCCAGCTATTGGGTTGTTTTGACCCAGCGGCTGGGTTCAAAACAAGCCAACCGCTGGGTCAAAAAAAAACAATAGCTGGGTCAAAACAACCCAACTGCTGGGTCAACAAAAAAAAACAATAGCTGGATCAAAACAACCCAATTGCTGGGTCAAAAAAAAAACAATAGCTGGGTCAAAACAACCCAACCGGTTGGTCAAAACAACCCAACCGCTGGGTCAAAGAAAAAACAATAGCTGGGTCAAAACAACCCAACCGCTGGGTCAAAAAAACCAATAGCTGGGTCAAAACAACCCAACCGCTGGGTCAAAAAAACAAAACAATAGCTGGGTCAAAACAACACAACTGCTGGGTCAAAAAAACAAAACAATAGCTGGGTCAAAACAACCCAACTGCTGGGTCAACAAAAAAAAACAATAGCTGGATCAAAACAACCCAATTGCTGGGTCAAAAAAAAAACAATAGCTGGGTCAAAACAACCCAACCGGTTGGTCAAAACAACCCAACCGCTGGGTCAAAGAAAAAACAATAGCTGGGTCAAAACAACCCAACCGCTGGGTCAAAAAAACCAATAGCTGGGTCAAAACAACCCAACCGCTGGGTCAAAAAAACAAAACAATAGCTGGGTCAAAACAACCCAACTGCTGGGTCAAAAAAAAAAAACAATAGCTGGGTTTGTCCCTTTTTAACCCAGCATTTTTTAGAGTGTACCAACATACTTTATAAATAATTGTTGTTAATAGTTAAATAATACAAATGATATAAAATAATTATAAATAATAAAAATGAAATAATTAAATTCCATAATTCCAAGCATTCCAAGAACTGAATTTATTTCAGGGTTCACACTGACCAAAGAATTTATATGATATTTCCAGGTGTTTCTGGGATTATTTTGGGATGAAGGGTTTCTGCTCAATAAAATATTTTAGAGCTTGGCATAAAATAAATAAATAAATGGTTTTCAAATTTCCATGACTTTTCCATGCCTGGAAATCACACTTTAAAAATGACCAGGATATTATAGTTGTTGGAAGAAAAAAAATTAAATAAGAAAAATGTCTATATATATTTTTAGCTGATTTAGCTTATTTCGAAGCTTGTTTTATTCAATTTTAAATAGTTTTAAACCATTTTGTGGCCACTTTGTAAGTGTGCTGATGCTCCATATGATTCCCCTGGTTGAAAATAACTGGACTAAACAGTTTGTCACTGTACATTTTGGTCAGATCCGGTCATCGGTAGTTTATTAGAATCTCTATTTTAAGTCTAGACTCCAAAAAAGTGCTTGTGGGTGAAGAACAAGGAGTAATGGTGACTTACTGAAAACCTTAACAAACATTTTTTTGTGTGTTTAGCTGCTGTGGCTTCATGGTCAATTTCATACTACCCTAGAAGCATATGTGTATTGGAAAGATCATCTGTGGATTTCAGCTGCACCTTTGATTATCCATATTATTACACACCTAAAACAACAAAATGGTTCAAACCAGAAGTTCATCAGAAACAAGACGGATCACAGATGGGAATATCTGTCTATCAGTCAAATACAGCAGAGATTCACCAGCTGTACAAAAACAGAACAGCTTATGCAAACCAAGACAGAAACTGCTCACTGCAGATACACAATGTCTCCAAAAGTGACAACGGAATGTATTTCTTTCGCTTTGAAATGAATTCCAATTATGGAAAATACACTGGATCAGGTGGCATACACCTCAGCGTAGCAGGTAAATGAAAGGCCATATTTGTTCAATGACAAATAAAATATCAGCAAGCCATCTCCAGCATACACTCTAAAAATCAAAGGTTCCAGAGTTTTTTCTTTTTTGTAGTGACACCATAGAAGGACCATTTTTGGTTCGTCAAAGAACCTTTCAGTGAACAGTTCTTAAAAGAACCATTTTTTTTTTCTTAATGTAAAGAACATTTTAATAACCTTTTGAGCAATGGAAAGGTTCCATGGTTGTTAAAGGTTTTTCATGGAACCATCAATGCCAATAAAGGATGGAATGCTGGGATGCTGATGCTAGTGTAACCTAGTCATTTAAAATTTTTCAAACAGGTTTCTGATTACATTTCATTAATCTACACTACTTTTAACAGTTCTACCTTTTAGAGTAACAGTGAAAACACAAAAGGAGAATGGACACATCCATGAAGGAGACTCTGTGACATTGGCATGTGGCACAGAAAACTGCACCCCAACACAAGAGCAGTTTGCCTGGTTTAAAAACCAACATCTGATTCCAGAAGCCACTGACAGTGTGCTCCGCATCTCTTCTGTCTCTCACGATGATTTTGGCAACTACTCCTGCGGTCTGAAGAACAGCAGCTCAACTTCAGGAAATGAAATATTGCTTGATGTAAAATGTATGTTTACATCTCTGGCTAGTCTATCATTTAAAGCACATCACGGCTTTGTTCAAAAACCTGATAAGCAGCATTTTAAGGCATCATAGACACACAGTTACCATAAAAATATGGAAGCTAGAATATTTCAGAAGATTTCACTAACCCAGTCACCGTTTCTGATGCAACATCTCTTTGCAACAGCATCATTGCATGCAAATGTTTCAAAGTTCTCTTGCAAATACAGATCCTGTTGTTTCTCCCCACAGATAGTCCAAAAAACGTTGAAATAGCCGTTTTGCCATCTGGAAGGATACAAGAAGGAAACTCACTGACTCTGATCTGTATGAGCAATGCCAATCCTGCAGTGATAAACTACAGTTGGTTTATGATCAAAGAAGCAAACGTCTCTCATGTAGGATTTGATCGTGAATTCTCCATCAAATCTGCCAGTCAGAAGGATGATGAACAATACTTCTGCATTGCTAAGAATGACATGGGTTCTCAAAACTCTACAGTCATAGCACTGAATGTTGAAGGTAATAGGGAATATTTCATTCACAAAGAAAGAAAGCCTTTTTAAATGGAATACTGAGTACTAAATATTGTACAGTATATTGCCCTGAGTGTATGAAAAATATCATGTAAGCAGCGTTTTCCCATTTTTAGTTCAACTTTGCATAAACAAATAATGTTTTATAACATTAGTAATGTGACTTCGGTTCACTTATCACACTGAAAATAACATCCTGCACATTTTGGAAAATATCACTTAGGTATTGCATGCATACAGAAAACTTGCATCAGACATAGTAAGAAAATGATGCTATTCTGAGCAAAGTTTACCCAAATTTATCCACATTTTTTGTTTGTTTCTATAGTGACTATTCATCAAAATTTCTTGCTGACTGCAACAGCTGTGTTTTTGTTTCTAATGGCAGTAGTCATGTTTGGTCTGATTATAAGGTGAGTGGACGCACAGCATGTGATAATATAGCCTTCTGTTGAAATGCAGAGAGAACATAAAGTTCATATGTGTTCAACGTTGCTTGAGTTTGTACTCTGTGGAAATGACACTACACATTACACAAGCCCTCGATGACTTCCCCCATCATCATGTACTGCGTTCAGTATTGCGCTGCTTGTATTTCATGCATGTCAAACATGCAATCGGTTTACGCAAATCTTGCACTTACAGCTAATACTAACCGATTTACATAATAATTTTTGTGACTAAAGTGTAGTATTCTGACCATTCTGAATTATTAACACATAATAATACAGTATAATTACTTCAAAAGGAATCTAGTCAGGTTAGATGCCATATTTAATTTAATGAGGATGAAATTAAACGAGTCTGTAAAACTGTATCAGCTTACATCTTTACAGGAGGATACCGTTTACGTCAAAGAAGCAGCCCACAGAACAGGTATTAAACACATGAACAGCTCATCTTATTTTAAATGAACAAAAGGCCTCTGTATGTATTAAATGCACACTAAATTAACACTAGTGATTTTTTTATCTCTGATCAGACACCTGCAGCCACAGTCACAGAGGAGATCTATGAAAACCTGAGAAAATCAGCAGAGTCTGAGGAAAACTATACAACATATGTGATATATGCAGATCTAAGTCTTCCTCCATCAACCTCAGACAGGTAATGATTAAAATGTCATGATGATTATTCGTGGGGGGAAATCTGTGGAACTGATTTATAAACCCCCTGTATGTGTTGACATACAGTACACTGTAAAAAAAATTCCGTAAAATTTACAGTAAAAAACCGGCAGCTGTGGTTGCCGGAATTTTACCGTAAAAAATACGGTAGCAACGTTTTAGGTTTTACGGTTTTAACTTAAATTTAGTTAAATACCGTAATTTCATTAACTGATATAATGTTAATATACCAACCTATTGAAGTACTGAAATCTGTTTTGTACCTTTGTAATACACTGATAACCACCAAAAGGAGGTGGTGATGAGAAAGTCACATGATGAACCAAAGCCCATCACAAGCAGCTTTTAAATAATAACATATATTGAAGGTGCACAGTGTCATTCACACAAACACTAAACACCATCATGGTAACACACATGAAACTGAAATAATGCAATAAACATTCATTTAATTCAGTTATTAGGTGTAACACACAACCCTAATATACAAAACTGATAAGAAAAAACTAAGAAGAAACATAGTTATTTCAACAAAAAAACATCAAATTTTAAATGTAATGCAGGAAATTCTGGTAATGTCAATTTACGGTTATTCACTGTAAATTATACAGTCTTTTTCACTTCCAAAAATGGTATACTACCGTAAAACTAATGTCCAATACATGTAATGTCCAATACAGTTTTTCACCATATATAGTAGGGGAATTTACCGTTAACCATTTAACAGGTTTTTACTGTAGCATTTATACAGTCTTTTACCGTTAAATTCACGGTCATTTTTTACAGTGTATGTCCTTCTAAACAGGAAGGTTCAGACATCGAAGGAACATCTACAGGCTTCTAAAAAAAAAAAAAAAAGGAATGAGGCATAAAAGATTTACTGTAAAAAAAATAAATAAAAAAAAAAACTTGCTGCCTTCCTTTTTTTAGTTGAATCAAATTGGATTATTATTATTACATTTTTACTAATTATTATTATTACATTTTTAAAATTTTTATAAATTTTTTTTTATTTAATATCTTTGATATTTTCATTATAAAGAATGTTATTAATATATTATTTTAAATAAAAGACTGTCTAATACATGTAAACATTTCTTTTCTTTTGTAGACCACATTGCAACAGTCAAGAGGACGACACCGTGATCATCTACAGCCTTCTTAGTTACAAAGACTGAATGAATCTTATCCCTGTGAATAATGAGATTTAGCAAGCAGCTGTTGTTGAAATTTCTCTCTTTTTATTCAAAAGAATTAAATGTCTATAGTTGCAAATAAATTTACATAGAGTACAAAATTACTATAGGGTCACACATTACAATGAGTATAAAAGCATTAAAGAAATAATTTATACAATGTACAGAGAAGATAAAAACTATTAATAAATCCATATGTACATCTTTTTGCATGCATCTGTATTTACATCCACATTTAACATCACTTGACCAAAACATTCAAACACGGTGCATTTATGAAACAAATAAAATGCAATGTTGAAAAAAAAAAATGTTGAAACAAATAAAATGCAAAGTTCTATCTATATTAACTATGTTAAATGGTTCTTTTTATCTTTACAAAAGGGATTATCGTTCACATTAAACTGAAAATTCATGTCTTTCCAAATCCATTGGACGTTCTTTCTTTCACCTGTTCCTTTAATCAAGATTTTATACAAGCTACAAGCATATGTTAGATGTGCAATAAATTAACATTAGTGATGTTATTAAGCTATGATATTATGCTCCCATTATGTCAGTAATATACTTTAACATGTCAACATCATATTCTACTTAGCTGCATTTTGCTTTTATCTGCTCACTACTGGATGTACATTCAGCTCAAGCAGCATTTGTCATGTACAGTATTTACAGTGCTGGATCACACTCATAATACTCCTCTACATCATACATTTGGTACAATCACAATTTAATAACAAACATAATCTAAATCACACAGGACTTTTTCCTGCAAATAACAGTCGTCCTTTATGATGTTTGTATATTTGTTCCAAACTGAATCACTTAAATGTGAAGTATATAATTTATGAGGTTTTACATCTTTCAAACAGGTTTCTCAAACACTCCCCCATCTGTCATTGGTCGGCCAAACAAATTGTCCCGCCTCAAAACTCACGCTATTGGTTGAGCCATGTTGGGCCATTCAAGAGGTTCAAACAAACAAATCAATGTTTTCATAGCATTGTGTCCTGTATAATATCTTCCTCTAGGCCTCTGCTGCTGGATCACCAGATTCTGGTTTCTTCCTACAAAAAAAAAAAAGAGAGAATATATTGTTATTTCTACAATGCATGTGATAGAGGAAAATACAGAAGCTGCTTTCTGTGTTTATGAGGCAGCTGGATTGTTTTTTGGGGAATGGATAATAGAGAAAATAATAAAAATTGTAAAACAAGAGTTAAAAATGGCAGTAGGAATAACAATACAAATTTTGATTTAAAGCAATAGTTCACCAAAAATGAAAATTCTGTGATTTTTTTACTCATTGCTTACTATTATATAAGATCTAGGCAGTATAAATCACCATGCACATGTCATTTGCATGTATGTCATACGCAGTTCGAACAACTTGAGGAGTAAATGATGACAAACTGGTCATTTTTGGGTGAACAATTCTTTTAAACCTGGTTGCATAACATAAAGCCCACATGCCATTTTTTTTGTGAATGACAGCTTTGATTCTGCATTCCCAGCTGCATTCAGCCCTTTGAGGTTGGCACCTACTCGAATTTGGTAAGAGGTGCTTTGTCACACGTGACCTCTGAATGAATACCATTCACTTCCCCATTGGATGACTGAAGCTTTGGGATGCTGCCTCGTGGTAGTGTTAGCCCGCTCAGCTTCATGTCTCTGTATCAAAGGACACATGAGGACTGAAGCTTAGTGGGGTGGAATCACACACAGGAAACAGCAAATATGTCTAAATGCAAAGCTCTAAATATGGATTTTTAGATAGAAAATGTGAAGTTAAAAAATCTTAGACACCATCTTAGACATAATATCAAAAGCTCATAAGGTTAATTGCTTTTTGAGTTAGAATTAATCATTTTGTCTATATATATTATAAAAAAATATTTAAAATAATATTTTATAGCATTTAATACTCTTGGTTTGTTAGTTTAAAATGCATTAATTAAAATTATTATTATTATTTGGTAACAGTTTACAAGGTTTTATCAATTATAAAAATGTATAATATATATTTAATATATCTCTCTCGCTCGCTCTCTCTCTCTTTCTCTCTCTCTCTCTCTCTCTCTCTCTCTCTCTATATATATATATATAATTTATAGAATTAATTTATCTTGGTTGTTATGTTAGTAAAAAATGTTAATTTCTAATTTAATGTAGAAATGATTTTAGAACATGATTTTTAAAATTAGGTAAAAATTCTTTATTGTTAGTATGTCTCAACTTTTACTTTTAACTTTATACAATTACAGGTGAAGTGCTATTATCATTTCAATTATAATCAGCTTTTAATTTTTATTTTATTTATTTATTTGCCATTATGATGTAAAATTCCAGTTCATAACAGTGATAAATACAGTCAAATTAATTTTTTTAATCATCATTTAATTATTTACACTTCTATACCAAAGTAAAGTGCCTTTGCACTTTCTTGATATGCATGTAGTTTACATACAGGAATAGTTCACCCAAAAATGAAAAATATGTGAGGACTTTTACTCACACAAAGGCTACCGTACAAATTCAGAAGACTTGTACAAGTCTTTTAGACTTCATTTATGATACTCTTATTGTGCTTTTTGTCTATTTTGAAACATTTTGCATCCACTTTCTTGTAGGAAAAAAATTGAAATTGTTTTCCTACAAGAAGGGGTTACATTTTGGAGTGAACTATTTCTTTTAAGAACTATATGCAATCACGATAAACTAACACGATGTGCAAACAATTGTCCTTTGTTGGAAAACTAGGACAGAAACGAAGAGTCATTTTGTCTATCTCTACAGCATGGGCACTTGAGGATGAAGTTGTCTTACCCAGTGGAATTATTGGCCTCTTCATCCATCCCATTAGACTCTGACACTTTGTGTCCAAATAGTTTACGAGCGAGGAAATTAAGCAGGCCGCAGTGGTTGGTGTAGCAACAGAAAGCATCTACTGATACCATCAGCACCAAGAAGATGAACATTACAATTCCCACCACACCTCCTTTCCCTAACGCCGGCTGACTGACTGCAAGACAAGGAGAAATCAATTCATATCACTAAAGAGTGAAAAGGGTGAACTATTTGTTAAGCATATAATGCATAATATTATTGCACTTTTTGTAATCAATCCTACCAGGTTGTGGGACGGTGAAGTTAATTTTGGCAGTGCTGGAGGAGCCATTGTGGTTTACTGCATAAACTTCCATTTGATAGTTGGCATTGTACTGGAGATTATTCAGCTGGATTTTGCTGGAGTTTCCAGGAATTTCTTTTTCAGTCCATTCCTCATTCTCATTGTTCTGTTCCAAACGAGTGACATTTTACATTTAGATATATGGCTTGTACTTCACATATTTAAACAACATGAAAAATGCATATACTGCGGAGATAAACTGAGAAGTTTTTGGCTGGACTTCAGACTGACCTCTTTGTAGCGTACAATGTAGTGTAGGATAGGAGAGCCTCCATCTTTCAGCTGTTTAATAGGGATGGAGACTGAGTTTGTGTCCAACTTCTTCTCACTCAGAGACAGAATGGGGCTGTCGGGTTCCCCTAAATGAAGGAAAGAGCAAACATCAGATAAAGGGAACAAAGAAATAGTGTAACAGGTTGATCTTAGGGCTGGGTGATTTTGATTTAAAAATGTTTTATTATTTTAATTTATATTTATTATTATTTTATTTTAATGATATTTATCATCAAATTATTTAATATTTATCATTCTAAAGTTTGGGGTTGGTACAAATTTTAATTAATTATTTTTTTTTTAATAAGTCTCTAATGCTCACCAAGGCTGCATTTTATAAAAAATACAATAAAAACAGATACATCGCGAAATATTATTATTATTTAAAACAACTGTTTTCTTTTTGAATATGTTTTAAAATGTATTTATTTTCTACTTGTGATGTCAAAGCTGAATTTTCAGCATCATTACTCCAGTCTTTAGTGTCACACAATCCTTTAGAAATCATTCCAATATGATTAGCTGCTTAATATTTTTGTGGAAAAATAAAATTGTAAAAATACAGTAAATTTTTTTTTTTTTGCAGGATTCTTTTTCAAAAGGATCCAAGTTCAAAAGAACACACACACACACAAAATCCTACTGACCCCAAAATTTTGAACGGTATAGTTTAAATATTGTTTTGCTCTTAAACAGCTAATTTCTACAATTATTTAAAATGTTTAATGCAAAAACTTAAATGCAGTAAAGATATAGTTCTACACTAATTCATTTAATGAACACATGGAAGACAGATGTGAAGAATGAATCACTGAATCAGAATTTTGAATCACAGAAATGAATCAAACTTACCAACCCTAACACTGTTTTTGTTAAATTTAAGAAATTGTGTGTGATTTCTTACAAAACTAGTCATTGGTCAAATAAAAAGCACATTAAAATTATTGTAAATCACCCAACCCTAGTTAATCTAAGAATGCTATATTTGATGTTTCACTGTTGGCCTATATATTATATTAAAGTTATCGGAGTATGTCTGCGTCATACTTAAGTAATTGCCAATCCAGTGGATAAGCTCCAAAATTATTCACTACAGTATAGATGTGTGAGAGCGGCAGACCAACATTTCATGCTTTCATGCTGAAGTAGTGATATTCTCTGTTCTCGCTTTCTTCAGCATTGAAAACATGCAGGTAAACTCACTTTCACACGTCTATATCAAAGTAAACAATTAGGCTTATGTTTTAGCCTATCAACTGGAGATGTATGCATTCAAAATTTTGATTTACCATCTACAAAGGAAGGTCAGAATAAGGCAATGGACGGCCCCGGGACCAGGAGCAGGTTGTAATGCATGGAGAATGGTCATCATCAAGCAGGTGGCAATTAGAGGAAGAATGGACAGCGGAAGCAAATCATGAACATATGTGATGAGCAAACAGGCACTGATGCATGACAAGAATGACAGCATGAATCAACTGCAATAAAAATGTCTTATTAAAATAACTGGCTAAAATGTCTTTGCATTATTTAAAAATAATGTTGGGAC